GCCCCAAGGCCCCCTTGCCCCAAGGCCCCCTTGCCCCAAGGCAGGGCAGGGCAGGGCAGGGCCGTTCTGTATTGCATCAACTGCTGCTAGAACTGTTAAGTTTTGGGAGGATCCACCGGGAAAGTAGCTAGGCCCTGATTGCGTCTCCATTTCATTCATAGTGTATTTATTTTATATTTAAACTCCATTTCAACTCCACCCAATCAGAAGCACGAAGCAGAAGACACCAGCCTGAAGATGACGAATGTGAGTTCGTCCAAACGTTGCTTCTAGTTCTACGCGGGAGAAAACCCAAGTAAGTAAAGACGTACGTAAACACACAAAAAAAAAGGCAAGGCAGGGCAGGGCAGGGCAGGGCCACTCATTTTTCATGTGTCCAATTTTGGCACTGTGCCAATGTGTGTGTCAATGTGTGTGTCAAAGTGTGTGTCAATGTGTGTCCCAAGTGTGTGTCCCAAGTGTGTGTCCCAAGTGTGTCCCAGAAACGAATGTAGGATTACATCATTTGTCCCAGAAATAAAGAGATGATGTAGCATTACATCATTTTGGCACTGTGCCAAGGCTTGTCCCAGAAATAAAAAGATGATGTCATTGGAATGTAGCATCACGTCATACTTGGCACTGTGCCAAGGCTTGTCCCAGAGATAAAAAGATGATGTCGTCGCCTTTGGGGATGATGTCATTGGAATGTAGCATTACATCATTTTGGCACTGTGCCAAAGGCGATGACATCATCTTTTTATTTCTGGGGCAAGCCTTGGCACGGTGCCAAAATGATGTCATGCTACATTCCAATGAAATAGAAACAGACCATGACGTGGGTGTGTGGAGTCTTGCTTTGGCCGTTTTTGGGAAGGTGGTGGATGTTTTGCAGTTACTGCTGTTGTTTTGGGTGTCATGTGTCTGATTAACGAAACACTTAAAAGGACTTTCAGGCATATTTTCTCCTAAAAGCATTTATTAAGGTTACAGAGACATCAGTACAGCATGGTGGAAATGCTTAGGTCTGGCTTCTCTTCCGTTACGCATATACATTCCAAGCATTTTTCCCTGCCTCTATTTTGGGGTCATGGTTCACATCTTCCAATTAACTTGGAAGATGTGATTTACTTCCGGTTTGGACTATCCTTATTCTCCTCCCTTTTTCCCTGTTGCCTGGTTTAACTATAAAAATACCAGACAGTTCTGCATATTGTCAAAGCAAGAATATACAGTATTTGCAGCGTTGACATCGGGATCTTCCTAAGAAGATGCCCACAATACCTGGGCCACTTTAGCAAGATAGAAAGAAGGGAAGAAGGAAAAAAGGAAAAAGAAAGGAAGGAAGCAGAGAAAAAAAGGAAGGAAGGAAGGAAGAGAAAAAGAAAAGAGAGAAGGAAGGAAGAATGGATAAAAGGAAGGAAAGAAAGAAAAAGAAAGAAGAAAGGGAAGAAGGAAAAAGAAAGGAAGGAAGCAGAGAAAAAAAACAAGAAAGGAAGAAAGGGAAGAAAGAATGAAAAAAAAGAGATGGAAGGTAGGAAGAAAGGAAAGAAAGAAGGGAAAAGGGAAGAAGGAAAGAAAAGGGAAGAAGGAAAGAAAAAAAAGGAAAGAAAGAGAAATGGAAAAAGAAAGGAAGGAAGCAGAAAAAAGCAAAAAGGGAAGAAAGGAAGGAAAGAATGAAAAAAGAAAGATGGAAGGAAGGTAGGAAGGAAGGAAAGAAAGAAAGAAGGGAAAAGGGAAGAAGGAAAGAAAGAAAAGGGAAGAAGGAAAGAAAAAAGGGAAGAAGGAAAGAAAGAGAAAGGGAAAAAGAAAGGAAGCAGAGAAAAAAGCAAAAGGAAGGAAGGAAAGAATGAATGAAAAAAAGAAAGATGGTAGGAAGAAAGGAAAGAAAGAAGGGAAAAGGGAAGAAGGAAAGAAAAAGAAAGAAGG